AGATTATTAGCAACAAGTTGCACATGCAAGTTCAAGTTCTCCCTTACATCTTTCTGAGGCAGATTCAGAAACTATCATTCACTTTGGCATCTTTATGCCAGATGAGGCTACAGAGCTCTAAGAGGATGGGAAAATGGAAAAAAAAAACAGACAAGATGATCTGACCAGCCTGGTTCAGGGGTTTAAGGTAGGTAAGATCAGGATCCACTAGATACAGAGCCGATTTTATCTGTTGGCTTGCTCTCAATTGCAAATACTGGTTTTCTGCTGATTCTTGGTGATTTGATTCTTTAGAGACATCCTTTTTTAGTAGTTAATGTCTCCATCGCTTCTGTCTCTTCTCCAAAGAGCTTGTCTTTCTTCTAGCTCAGTCCCTGCCCAGGTTAGGACATTTTCAATAATGGCACTCACACACTTGGTGCTAATAGTGGTGAAGCACCAAGCGTCACACTCAGCCTGCTGTGGTGGGTCATTGCTCTTCATGTCTTCCAACCTTGGCTTTTTCCTGCTCTCACTAAGTCCATGAGAAACTTTTTTTTAAAAAAAGATCCTGTCAGCTTTCTGCTCAAAACCCTCCACTGGCTTCCAATATCAGAGTACAGGCGAAGTCATTAAAGCAGTGGCTTACACAGGATTACGTTTGTCATTCTCAACCTTCATTGTGGATCAGAATCACTTGAAGGGATTTAAGAAATTCAAATGCCTTCATTTCCCAATTAAGATACAATCTGAACTATACTGAGGCTCAAACACCAGCAGTGTTCACAGCTTCCACCTTGCCCAACCTTTGATCTTTTCCTCATTCCCTTTCCTCTATCTCTCTTTCTCCTATCTCCATACTTTTATTTCTACTTTTTCCAACTAAATACATCTCCCTACTAAATGTATGATACAGATTTTGCTTGTATCTTATCTGTTACCTTGTGAGAAGGTAAATGCTATGAAGGTATTTATTTAAATTTCTGTACTACTGTTCACTCCAGTCACTAACGCCTGATACATAGCAAGTGCTCAATAAATAATTGTTGTATGCCTGAAAAAAAATCAGTTACAATTTTAAATCATTCTCTCTTTACTTATGCAAAAATCCCGGGCAGAGCAAGACAGAAATAAATTTGTTCTGGCTTAATTAGGATAGTTCAGGATGGGTGAACATCTCACAAGAATAGTAAATCAGAACTCTAGACTTCATGTTCATTTGCATAGATTTCTTTTGGGAGTGGGGAGGTATAGCAGAACAAAGATGCTAGAAGGGATCAGGAACTACCTTCAAGTAAAAGAAACTTAATGAGACTAGCAGCTCAATTAAGAACAAGCTCAGCCTGAGACATTAATGAGATCTACTTAAGGTTACAGATTGTGAGGATTGTTGTTCACAGTGATCCTGGCTTGGCTGGGAGGCTGTGACAGATTCCTGGCACAGATACCACAGAAAGTTGGCCTTTAGTGTAATGTTGGCCTAGAGGACCTCTCGGGTCCCTTCTGCTTGGACAAATTCAAAATCAATGACAGAACACAAAAAGCAGCCTAAAGATGTGCAAGACCAGTTATTCAAAGAAGGTTCCACAGTTGTATGCTGTGTTGCAGCTCTTAGTTCCTGAGTCTCTTGTGAACTTTAGAAGGTGAAGAGGTTATTGTTTCTTTTTTTACTCTTTTTTTTTAAATAGAAACTTCTCAAAACTTGGCCACCTGAATCAAAATGCATATTTTTAATATGCCTATGATCTGTCCAATCAATTTTGAGTTGTCTCTGCCTGGGGTGAAAGAAACAAATACTACATACAAATTTTACTTAGGTATTTTCTGTTGTGAATTTATAAGGTATTCTTCACTACCCCTGTAGCCAATCAGGGAACAGAATAAATATAGGGCAATAAGCATTTGATGACTAAAGTTGCAATTTTAAGCTTATTAGTCTTCTTTATTAGCAGGCTATTGGGGTAGAAAATGTTTTCGATTTCTTTTACTACATTTTCTTTTTTATTGTATCACCATTTTAACTAAACCCTAGGAAATACTTAATTATTAAATAATACTTTTTTGTTTTTGTTATTGTTGTTGCTTTTTGGTGTACTAGGGTTTGAACTCAGAGGCTAGTGCTTTTACTCACAGCTGATGCTCTACCACTTGAGACATATCTCCAGTTCTGGCCTTTTTTTTAAAATCAGCGATAGGAGTGTCATGGTTTGTTGCCTGGATTGGCTTGTAATCTTGATTCTCAGATTACAGTCTCCTAAGTAGCTAGAGCTACTTAGACGCTCAGCTGAAGACGCTCAGCTTATAGCCCCTGATGCTCAGCTAAAGAATTGTTGTGTAGTTACAAGCTCTCATTATTTTATGAGATAGTTTCATGGCTCTAATTGTGCTATTTATTAAGAATATTTACCTGTATTATTTCATTTAATCTTGACAAAAGCTGAAAGAAGCTGGATTTTTTTTTTACCAATATGACCAAACTTCTAAGGCCCCAACTAGTTTTAAATAATTAAGTTATATTTGCACATTTCATTATCTACCTATTAGTTAATTAATTAATTAATTTAGTGCCAGTACTGGTGCTCAGGGTTTGGGTGCTGTCCTTACTTTATTCATTTGTGTTTGGTGCTTTCCCACCTTCAGCCTTGTAATGGTTAATTGGCGATCAGCGTCTCATGGGCTTTCCTGCCTGGGCTGGCTTTGATCCTCAATCCTCAGATCAGAGATTCCTAAGTAGCTCACAGGCATGAACCAGCAGTCTTCAGATAACACTTTAATTTTTAAGAAATGAGCTGGACTCAACTCCAGGTAGATGACTTACAAAGGTCATATTTCTAACTCCTGAACTGACTGAAGTCATTTCACCACTGTGTAAAGTAAAACAGAAGGGAGCTGGGTGACCTGTACATTCTCTCTTTACTTTTCACAACCATGGCCCATTTTTCATTGCACAGATGTACCCTGATTTAAATCACTCTAGTCAATCTCACACTTGATCTCCCCTTCAACCTTCCTTCCCAACTTTTCCATTCATGAAATCAGTGACCATCTCTCTGCTGCTGTGCGAGTCTCCAGGTCCGAAGTCAGGGGTCGGTATACAGTTGGCACTCAATACTTGTTGAATGCACACATCCCATAAAGGAGAGAATGTGTATGTTCAGTGAGAGAATGAAAGTCCTTGGGAATGGGACAGTATTGAAAGAAATGACCAGTTATGGGAACTCTGGATCCTGAAACGGAAGTGTATACCATGAATTTCTAGTGACACTAATCCTTAAGAGGAAAAGTTCTCCAAGTGTGTGGGGAGGGGAGAGGAGGGATGATACTGGGGATTGAACAGGACCTAATGCATATATAATTCCACTGAGTTTGACACCTCTGGTCCCAGAAAGTATCCGTTTAACAACAGATGATATAAAGTAAAATAACTTCCTAGACCACTTAATATACCTTCCCTGAAGCTCACATTAATCTACCTTCTATGGCCACCTTGCTTTCCTCCCCAGCATACCTGCTCATTCAGTCCCCCAACACACCCTTCCATTCCCCCCCCCCCAATTCTCTAGTTGAGGACACCGTTCTTTCCAGGGATGGAAGTTCCAGGTCCTCATGGGAAAGACAAGAAACAGACACTTTAGATCCATTCCTGGGTTCTGGGAAAATGGAATTTACACAATAAGGGCAAATGCACTAGAAGCCATGGTGAACACCTCAAGGTTATTTACTTCTCTATTTAGTGGCCTTTGCTAACTTCTTAAGAATGGTCACTTCCTTAAGGACACGGTGAGAGTGTGGAGAACTTGACGTTGTCATCAAAATGATGACACCCCTGTGCTGACTCCTGCAGGCCAGGTGCAGATAAAGGGTTTCACATGACAAGGCCGACAGCAGTGCTGGAATCCGTGGTGCAGTAATTCTAATAGTGAAAACCTGAAGTATTTGTATTCTGAATAGAACACTCAGATGAGGTCAAACATCATGTTGCTGTGAAAGGTCATACAGAAAGCGGGCAGGACACTATTATTCCTTTAGTAACATCCTTCTTCATGTATTTGAAGCATCCTTTCTTTCTTTGGAGATTCTGGGATATGAGCTCAGGGCCTTGCATATGCTAAGTTGGTGCTCTGCTCCTTAAACCATAGTCTATAATCCTGTTTTTTGGTTATTTTGAACACGGCGTCTAGTAAAGTTTCTGTCTATACTGGCCTTGAACTCTAATCTTCCAGATCTCTCCTGTGTAGCTAGGATTACAGGCAAGAGCCATGTGGAGCCCAGCTTTATAAGTATTCAATTATTCATGCCAAACACTGATTGTTATCAGGCTACCCAAAGGAGGTAATTTTAAGCAAAACAGAAACCAAAATAAAAACAAACCAGTGTTCTCATAGAGGCTGATAATGCCTGCATTACTTCTGTATACGTGTAAATAAATTACAGTTCAGCAAGAAAAAAAAAAGGAACGTTAAGTTCTCTAACAAAGGAAACAAGCCACTCTAAGTCTTTTTCTGTATAGTTGCTTCCAAATGATGGCTATAGAATAGTAAGATGTAGATAAAGATTTTCACATTTGAAAATGGTAGCAGACATTTGTAGGAACCTTATTTGCTGACAAGATTAGCTTATATTTCTGAATAGCTTCACATACAAGATAGAGTTTTAAGCTAGAAACAAATGCAGAAAATACCCTGAATCATTTAAAGGAATTAGATAACCCTAATAATACTTGGAGGGAGATTTGTAGAAAAAGAACTATTTTTAGCCTTCATGTTTATAAGTCCTTAATCCTTTCTTGGACAAAATGCCAGTATGTATAAATTTAGTTTTGGAGTTCCAAAGGCTTTAAAATCTCTTTAATAATGTCCCAAGTTGCCTCGAAGCCTTCTTCAAACCTATAGATGGCATGATTTAACTAAAGACTCCCCGGCAGGGTTAGAGAAAGCAAGAGATACAAATATCTCAATTTCGCAATTGCAACATAAAAGGCGAGCTGGTAAAGACTATTATTGGAAAACCACAACCAGTACCTTTTGAACACCTGCTTGTGACTCCAGGACATTGTTCTCTGATCCATTGCTTCTGTTGATCATGCGCCACATTTGGGAATACATGCTGTCTCTCTCGAAAGGATTCAGCCCCTTCATGCGGACATGCTCATAGACCGCAGAATCCAGCACTGTGCCGTAAGGAATGTCTGTCTGCTTGGACAGGTCCTGCAGAGACCTTGGTTGTTGGGAGAAAAGAGAGACACAGGAAAGAGAACTGAATATCTGCAAGTGGAAACAAAGTCAAAGGAAGAAAACAGTAATGTCTACGGAGACAGATATCGAATCTCTTATGCATTGAGTTAGATTTTCTTCTTGCTATTATGCTGTGATACATGAAACCTGACAGTAAGATATATGTGGAAAATTATAAAAAGTCAAAATTACTATTGCAGAATAAATGGGCATTTGTGGTGGTATTGCAGAGGTTTTCTTGTGAACTCTCGTGGGAAAAAAGCCTAGAAATATTAAAATAATGACTAATTAAATTGCTATGTGTTATATTTTAGTTGTTTAATTTCAGTACATTATAAATATTAGGTGTCAAGGCTTTCATAGTTTTTTTTGTTGGTCATGGGGCTTGAACTCTGGACATGCGTGCAGTCCTTGAGCTCTTTTGCTCAAGGCTAGCATTCTACCACTTTGAGCCACAGCTCTTCTTCTGGTTTTCTGGTGATTAATTGGAGATAAGAGTCTCACGGACTTTGGTGCCTGGGCTGGCTTTGAACTGTCATTCTCAGATCTCAGCCTCCTGAGTAGCTAGGATTATATGTATGAGCCACCAGTAGGGCCCCCCCCCCGTTTTTTTAAGAAACTAATTATATTTTATACAAACAACATGCCTTGAAATCAATCACATGCACAAAAATGAGTACCGTTTTCATGGTAGTCACTATTGTCTACTGCATACATAACAAGCAATTGAGAACTATTTCATCCATGTTATACGTGAGGAAATTATCCTTGATCAGACCGGATAGCATGGTCAGTGAGGGAGAGATTAGGATACAAATGGAGGCTGCTTTTCCCCACAGCCCATGGTGTATAAGATGCTGTTTCTTATTTCCTTTGCTATAGTTGATCTACTGTGTGTATGTGGTAGGGGCAAGAGATAGGAGAGAAAGAAAGATAGAAGGAGTGAAAGAGAGAAGGAGATGGACAGAGGAAAAGTAGTGGGAGAAAGATAGGAAGAGAAAGAGACTGATTCTTCTTTATGTTTAAGAAGGATATATCATACTTGTGTGAGCTGAAGAGATTTGTCATCTCCTCTGTTTTGGGATAATGCTCCAGGATTTTCCAAGCCAATATTTGGGTTAGAAATGTGTCCCATGTGTCCCATGCTATCTATTTCTAGGCAGTTTCCTTCTCTGACCCTCAATGTAGAGCTTGATAGTTGAGTTTCAGAGTCACTCTGAGAAACAGTTACCACTCTCTGGAAAGTCATTGAGATTGTACAGCTGCCCAGTGCAGATGATTGGCACTTCAGAACTAATATGTATCTTTAGCATAATGTTCAAAATAGAATACTGTCATGTATCAAGCTCACTAACTTCTGGGACTGGAGATAGATGCTTTGAAGCACTATACCATCCAGTGAACAATAATAAATTCCTAAGATATCTCACAACTGTGGACAATAAATCTCATATAATACGTACTTCTGTTCTTTTGTCTGGCTCTACATGGAGTTAGCCAGTAATTTCATATAAGTCTCTCAAACCAACATTGTGAATATTCTTGTAGTTCTCATTCTCCTGAAGGTATGAAATTATGTTGCAAACAATAAATTAGGGGCTCTGTTAGAGGAGCGTTTGTGCCAATTTCTAATAGCAACTTTCAGTAAAATTTAATGTGCTTGCATTGTTGATGTGTTTCATTTACTCTGTGAAAACAGATGATAATTTCTTTTGGCTCTACATATCTGCTGTATAAAGGATACATTTCAAAAGTATTGTTTGATAAGCAGAATTTTCTAGTTATTCTAACGATTGGAGATCCCAAGTGTTTGTGTAAATAAAGTGTTTGTGTAAATAAACATTGGAGGGAGAAAGGATAGAAAATGAGCTACGTATATCTGGGACACAATTTACTGGGAGTGACATTTATTCCTGGAACACCATGTAATTATTTTGGTGATAGGGTATCAATAATAATTTTGTTGCGAGAGAATAATCTATTTTTTTTAGTAGTGGGAGTGATTCTGTATTCAAAACACCCATGGAAGAAATTCTCAAATAACACAGAAAGAAGAAATCAAACATATCTATATAGGTTAAATGGCAGGCCACACCTATTCCATTTCTACAAATACAAGGAGAGGTAGTTGTACACAGAGCTTGAATGCCCATGAATGGAGAAGGCCCTCCAGAAACAGATATGACTGTCCACTTTTCTGGTAGATCTAATAGGTCTAATAGAAAGCTTCAATTTAGTGGTGGTGAGATCATACTTTGGTTGGTGAAACTGTTTTGAAGACAATAACTTTTAAAAGAAATATCTTGATACATTGCTCATCTGGAGTTCCTGGTGTCAGGACAAAAAGGGAGTTTATTTTCAACATGCTTCAAGTTTAGACTAGCAGAGCATTTTGTAATTTAAAACAAAGGCATGTTCCCTCTAGTAGTTTCTAATATCAAGTTCAGGTTATAAATTTGCCTTGAGACATGCCTGCAATAAAAATTACAGCTTGTCTGATTCAGTGTCCTTCTATTATAGCACACCAAGATAGCACTAAGAGTGACAAAAATGAAATGACTAAAGCAAAATGAATGAATTGACATAACTTGCTACAGAAAGAGAAAGCTGGTTTAAGAGCCAACCGTGCTAATAAGATTTTAAAGCAGGTTCTGCATGCAGAAAGTGTATGGCTTAAGTTATGCACCCCTAAAAGAAATCTAATAGGTTATTATACAAGATTTAACAATCTTCAAAACCTTGTATCTGAAGGCCAAAGGCTGAGTGGATTCTATTTAGATATGCCCCATTGTTGCCTTAAAATACTACACAATTCCAGAATCACCCATAAGCAAGTGTCATATAATTTATCATGGTGATTCACATTTCTTATTTTAATAATAGGCAATGTTTGCCCACAGAAGGGCTGAGAAAATCTAGATCACTTAGAGTAGTTATCTGTGATGAAACTCAGACTAATATACTCCATTTTCTCCTCGTCACACAATCCCAAAAAACTGACAGAATGTAGCAAATGCTCACTCTGTGATGACCGAACCTGAGCCCATTTCTCTCAGTCTCCCGACTACTCACTCATTCATGTAGAGTAAAAATGATGGCTTCTACATGCATGTTATGAATTATAAAATAAAACAAATGCTGCCTGGTATGGGTATACACACCCGTAATCCTAGCTATTCAGGAGACTGAGATTTGAGGATCGTTATTCAAAGCCAACCTGGGCAAGAATGGCTGTAAGACTTTTATCTCCAGTTAATCAGCAAAAAGCTGGAAGTAGAGCTGTGGCTCAAGTGGAAGAGCACCAGCCTTTAGTGAAAATTCCAAGTGGGAGTAGAAGATCCTAGGATCAAGCCCTAGTATCTTTGCACACCTCCCTGGAAGAATGGAAGCGTATGCACGCACGCATGCATACACACACACACACACAGAAGTAAGTCAACCAGTTGTCAAACCAGTCAACATCTGAGATTCTTTTTTAAAATTTCCCAGATGGGTGTCCTATTAAGCAATGTCAGATACTAAATGATACTGAAAGGGTACTGTTCACATGGATATTACAAGCATTGCAGAAATGCAAAACTTAGGCAATTCTATGAAAATAAATGCTGGGGGTTTGAGTAGATCTAGGAAAATTTCTTTCTTAGGAAGAATCAACACTGAAAACTCCTGCAAATGTTAAAAACTAATTTTGAGCTATGTGATAGTCTTATATCAATTATAAGTGACAGCTATCACTGAAACCTCTGGTTTGCCAGATTTATCAGCAAGTAGACCTGGGGACAGTGTTTTCTGGGAACAGTGTGGTGCTCGGTGCTTCTGTCAATCTTACTTTCTTCTCTGTGAAGTAGTGAGGGTAGCAGGACCCTCCTTTGTTGTAACAGAACCTATCAGAATGACTATTATTTTTAATATTTACATTGTAATGATCATGAGATTCTTTACTCCTTAAAGAAAGTCTCACTACATTTTTTTGAACTGGCAGAGGAAAGATGACCTTTCATAAATATTGTTGAAAAAGAGATTCCACATGGACTAGAGTTAAGTAACATCGGAATATTCTCCTTTCCTGTGGCAGCATTGGGATTTGAACTCAGGGCTTGTGAGAAAGGTACCTTACTGCTTGAACCATGCCTTCATTCTTTTTCACTTGTACTTTTTTTAAAAACAAGGTTCTAGACTCTTGCAGAGAGCAGCCTGAACAATAATCCTTCTGTGTATGTTTTCTACATAGGTGGTATGATGGGCATGTGTCATCAGGAATGGATTTTGGTTGAGTGAAATGGGGTCTTAGGAATTCTTTGTCCAAACTATGGTCTTTCCTCCAACTGTGGTCCTTCCAATCTCAGACCTCCTGGGGAACTACAATTACAGACATGAACCACTGAACCTGGCCTAACATTCCTAATTATATATGAGTCTATGGCACTAAACAGTCATAGCTTCTTTTAAAGCAAACTCTTTGTAAGACTGACTATTAGTAAAATCATGTTACAAGGAATGTGTTGTTAAAATATTTAGCTTACCATTTCTAAAACTGTCAACTACTTAATTTATTAAAAATCTAATGGTTCTGCAGTGAACATTCATATTTTTAACCCACTTGCCTTTTGAAACTTCTTTGTACAACTACTTACAGATAATAAAAAAATAAATGTTAGTTACTTATATAAACCTTTCAAATAACTTCATTAACTTCTCTACTTCATCTTTGCCTCTTCTTCTTCTTCCTCCTCCATTTTTAAAAAATGATAACACTGCCCCATTTGTTAGGAAATGGAAAAAATTGGAAAAAATTATATTAAGTGAAGTAAGACAGACTGAAAAAAGCATAGGTCCCATGGTTTCCCTTATCTGCAATAACTAGTATATGTCTAAGACAAGCAGAAGAGGTCACAAACTATGTACATATGCCCATATAACCTGATTCTAAGCAAAATGAACCCCCCAAGATAGGGAAATAAGAAATTTTACCTTTGGTATTGT